TATTGTAAACATTAAACCTTCCAACTTTTGTCTAGTTAATTTTAGTCTAGTTTTGTTTTGTCTGCTAATAAGATGTAAAACAACTCGAAAGAGGTTTTCAGTTCCTTTCCTCTTATTAATATAGCATTTACTTTAATACTCTTGTCGAGACCAACAACATTTCATATATTGTATTCTAAATGTAAGATAAAAATCCATCTCTGTGTACAATATTTGCCTTGTTGTATGTAATTGCAAATATTCTATTATGAACAAGTCACTCGGTATTCAAAAATTTTTTTTCTTTTTAATACAAAAATAACTCTTATACCATTTTGCAAACATCACGGTATTTAAAAATCTAATCCAGATCAAATTAAATTCTATAAATGAGACTTTAAATTTTTTAAGAAACTAACAAAGTAAAAAAGAACGTACACAAAACGAGAAAATAAAAAAAAAATTGAAAAATGTCCCGTGACATCCTATTTCCTTCCACTATGGTGCGCTCATTAAAATGTCGTATACCCACAGCATAAATGGGTATTAAATAAATTATGTGAGAAGAAAACTATTAATTAAAACCACAATTTTGAGACCATCTTTAAAAATGGCTTGATTTTATAGGGATATTAAGTAATTTTTGCGGTTGATAGTTCTAGTAGTTGGTCCCAAAAATAAAATGAAAAAAAAGTTACAAATTTTTGGCTTTTTTAATAGAAAAAAAAATGAATACAAAAATCATCAATAAAATCCAAAAATTGCAAAAATATCGATTTCAAAGACTTGTTCACCGATTTATGATAATTCCGGGAAATTATGATGCAATAAATCGAATACTATAATCTTATATTATGTAAAATGGGAAAATTTTAACTTCTTTGGGCATTTTTATAACATTCAAAGTTTTTATCGGTTCGATTACTGTGTCATATAGGTACTATACCCAATGTGTGTGAATATTTTCCATTTAAAATGATCTTATTACTTATTTTATATATGTAGTTGAAATTTTATTAAAAATAATTTTGAAAAGGAATAAGTTTCAGTTTCTCGTAGTGTAAAGAATAATGAAAAAAGAAAGTGAACATTTCAATTTCCCTTTTAATTGTGATAATGTGAATATTGGCAGTTGACAAAGTTGAAGTATTGTAATCAACATCTACAAACGTAAGTTCTCTTTTTTTGTCTGCACAAGTAAGCTTGGTATTGTAGATTATAAATTGTAGAGATGGGGTAACTGCACCTGGGCCAGCGTATAAGGATCTATTGTTTCCCAGACAATGCATTAAGGTTTCCCCATTTCAAACTGGAGATACTTTTAAACTGCTGTTGCAGTAAGTTTGAAACAATTTTCAGGTGGTCCAAGACAATCGCATTCAAGGTGCTGAAGTAATTTACTAGCCGGCACACCGCAGCGTGATATCATATCTCATACTCTGCACTACAGACAAATCACAGACCACACTGTATATGAAAGATGTTTGTCCACAGGATGACAGATGTTTGCCTCGTCTTAATAATTATCAGTTTTAGAAATTCTTAGTGGAATGCTTTCCTTGTTAGATATTAGAATTGTCGGGAAAGTTACACACAGTAGTTGAAAAATTTAAAAATTTTGTTTTTTTGTATTCCAAAAAGAGGGATAATATTTTTAACTGTTATAAAAATTTTATTCGACTCTCTATTGCTCTTTTGTGATATTTATAAAATGCCACAATAACTCTTTACTCTTTTAATAATAATAAAGATACGTTTGAAAGTGTGTCAATACTTATTTGGTTATACTTTTCGTAATATTGTGATGGTGTTATTGTTGGTTTTATTTTTTTTCCTTCAAATTAAGATTTATTGTGTAGCTCCTTTTATATGTTTTATTACGATGACGATTTTATGTTGTCATCAAGTTAGTTTTTGGGCTATTAAAAGAGGAGAAAAACACAAAATAAATCCCATATTGTGTAACAATCTTTTGTTCTCATTTTTATAGATTTTTTTGGCCAGTTCAATAATTTTTTTTTCTTCCCAATTTTGATTTTGAGTTTTTTTTCTGCTGAAGGAAGACGCTTTTATTTTTCTTTGAAGACGAAGAAGAAAAGAACCGCAAAATATGATTTTTAATAATAAAAGTCAAAAGACGAATAAAATTGTGATTAAAATAGAAAAATCATTTAACCATTTTAAGTGATCACTTTTATTTTTACGTTTTTGGTTATTTTTTCCGATTAAAATTAATTTTTATAGTTTTCAATTTGAAAGAAATATTAAAAGTATTAAAAAAATTTGTTAATAAAAAAGAATTAAATTTGCATGTATTTGCTTCAAAAGCGTTTTTTTTTGTTTTGTTTTTTAATCCTACATACTTAACACTTTTAATAACTTTTATTAGATTTTCCGTTACAGTAACTTCAAAAATTTTTGGAAGCAACAGTGCATGTAAACCAATTAAAAAATCTTATGCTTTATTATTAGTCTGCAAAATAAATTAAGTTGCTTGAGTTCATCAGGAGGGTGGGTCTCAAGTGTGTTTTGTAGGGCATGCCCCGCAATCGGATGGGAGCGCACAATAGATCCTTATAAATGATCGCGGTGCACTGTTGCCTCCGTTTTACAAATCTGCAATCTAGTCTGCAAGATTTTATTAATGTAGAATATATGTATTTTAAATTTTCCAACTAAGGCGTATTCCAGGCAAGTATATTGTTCCAACTAAATTATATTTCAACAGACGCAAACGTTTTTATATTTCCACGATTTTTCAAATAAATTGCGTTCCACATGAGCGCATTTTCGTATTTCCACGGTTTTTCAAAAAAATTACATTCCAGAGGAGACGCATTTTACCAGTTTCTAAAATTCATGACTTCTATTACTTCTGTTATATTTAAAGTACACCCATTTTGGCAATTGTATTGGCAACTAAATTCATTTACCCAAGGAGACCAAAAACTTTTTAATTGCATTGTTAAAAAAATTATGCTTAACAAAATTTCTTTTAAAAAATCCTGCGTTATATATTACATTTAATTTTTTTCTTCCAATCTTTACCAAATATACGTGTATGAATTATTTTTTATAATTCTTGTTAATAGTGTACAAAGATTAAAATCACTTATTTAATATTCCATCCCAAATACTTGTAGCTGCGCGGTTATAAGAGTTGATGGGGTATTAAAAAAAAAAAATCAGAAAACAAAAATTCTTTATGAGAACGCTTTAATTTTAATGTTTCAACTTTATTTTTTTTTATTAATATTTTTATTATTTTCGAAACAAAAACATTTGCACTAGAAAACTACCATATGATTTATAGATATTTTGTAATAAATCATATTTGTTTCTCTTTGTTTCTTTTTGGGGTTTTTTGCTTTTATTTTTTAAATAAATTTATTTCTTTCATATATATTTTAAACAAAGAAAAAATCTCAAATTTCATAAAAAAAAATTAATATTAAAAACAATTTATTTATTTTTTTTTATTATATTAAGCGCAACTTTTGTAATGGTAGTAGTAGTTAATATAGTAGTAAATTTACTACTACTGAATATAAAAAAAAAACTAAAACATACACTGAAAAAAAAAGTATCATTTTCTTAATTGTATTTCTTTATCTGATCGACAGATATCGCGATTATTAAGATTAAAATCAACAAACCACAGCACATTAAAAACTAAAACAGAATAAAAAAAATTTTAAGATCTTTGCCGGTGGTCCCTACATATATCTAATTCCCTCCTCTATTTAGTATTCCAAATTTTTCCTCTTTTTTGTACCAAAGACAACAACACTTTTGTGCTTAAAATTTAATTTTTATCTTCTTGTGACTGTTTTTAAATTTGGAGGTCTTGAATTTGTCACACAATTATCATTGTACAAAAAAATTATAATTTTCTTCCTTATTTTTAATTTATTATTATTTTTAAAATCAAGATCATCCTATAGTATAGAATTCATAATATATAGTTTTCAACTTGGTATTCTATATTGTGCTATCAAATTAAAAATCTCTATGATTTAATCTAGAATTAATAAAATAAAATTATATACAATATAAAAGAGATCGCAAATTGTATAATTATGAATTATTCATTAAAATAAATGAGTGTACCATTATTATAGATGGTGCCTATGTATAATTACTGTACTTGCATGGAATTATAACTTGTGGATTCTTACAAATTGTTAACCAAAAAAAATAAAATCTATTATGGTCTTAATTTTTGGACAAAGAATCTTTTATTTAAATCCCATAACTCATGAATTCAAAAAAAAAAAGCACAAATAAATTCGAATAAATTTTTTTTTTAATTTTTTTGACTTTTAATTTGCTCTTTTATAGGATCTAAAGCTGAGAAAAATTTATTGCATGAATGATTAAATACATTAACAACAAATACAAATATGTGAAAGAGTTTGTGTAAATTAAAACAATTACTATATAAAATACTAGTACGTTTCTCTATACTAGTATTTTCTGAGTAACAACGTTTGTGGTCTTCTATATTCCATTGTAATAATTTAAGATTCCAAATTATTACATACGGAACATAAATAAAAAACAAATCTACAAATTATCATATTAATATCATAGCTAAGAAGAGTCGATATAGAAAATTAAAGAAAAGTGTCTGACTCAATAGCGGACCCTTATCTATGTAAATATCGAAAAATCGATTTTATGTACACGATAGGCTTCTGTATACAATTTTGATTTAATGATTTGATATAAATTTTTTTTTCTTCTCTCTTATTTTTTTAACATTAAGATTAATATTAACAGATTAACTATAATAAAATTAAGATAAGATAAAAAGAAAATATTAAGATTAAAGAGCAGTGTCGGTGTCAGAGATTTTCTGCGAAATTGAGAAAATTATTTTTTTTTTCCTACAGACGGGGTCATCTAATATAAGACTTTAATCGGCTTTTTATTTTGTGTTTTCTATACCATTCTAACTTAAAGACCATAACAAATTTTATTATTCCATCTGCTTGCAGGAGAGCCTTTCATAAGCGCTTTCAAGATGTTCAAGAATTACAGCCCAACACCCACACAGCAAAGGATCAAGTTATACGAATACAGATTTTTATTTTCAGCATACGCCTGCTTTCTTCAGATGAATGCAGAAAGAGTAAACGTTCTGTAGTGAGTAAAAAGTTTAGATGGCTAAGTAAAACCAGCTCCCGTTTGCATGCTTCAAAGTCCGTTTTTGTGTTCCAAAATTCAGGATAACTAAGTAGAGAGTGTATATATTTGTTGTTTTTCGAACTCTACAGCACGGTTCGGATCAACTATTTGTTGGAAACTAAAAGAGAAAAACGTTACTTACAAATTAATCATAATTTTATTACCTGTCTCAAGGCCTTGTTCCCGTGTTATAAATTACAGAAAAGGCTTGTATGATTTTCTGAAAGCGTTAAATAGTTATCTGAAATCAATTTAAAATTTATTTGCAATATATAACCCTGTTTAATTCTAGTTTTGTAAAATTACCTAAAGTTTTGAATTCGATCCTGAATACTTATACATTGGCAATTAGCATATTTCTCTAATCTAAATGAATATATTGGAGCCTAATAAATCACAAAATTAGTATATGAAATATTTTTGTTCTCCGTACTCTAGTGTTCGTTTATATTTAAACCATTTTGTTGTTAATAACCTTCTTGATTGTTTGGCATATCATTACCATATGTTCGATTGAATTGCTTTTTTTTTCGGGTCTTACCCATATGATTTTTCTGATGAGAAAAATTAGTTGTTTTCATTTTTCTGTTCTATTTCTATTTCTTTTATAAAGGTTCGTCTATTCTACGAAAAAAAAACTTAATATTTTTCTTACAGAATCGAAAAGTTAATTTGACATTAAAATATATACATATGTACCTGCATACATATGTAAATATGGATATATGTAAATTTATACAAACCTGTGACTTATATAATTAAGGTAAACAACAAATGAATATTCTCGTATAGGCCTCATATTCATATTTACATTTTTTAGCTTCTTGTGTTATTTGTAGTTGTTTTTTTCCTTCATTTTTGCTGTTAATAAATTCAAATTAGTTAATAATTTGTCTTTAAATTAGTTTGAATTTTGGGTTTTTTAAAGGTAGTAGCAGTCAGCAAGCCTTCAAAATTTAAGAAGAAAAAAATAAACTGAAAAATTATGTGCGTAAATGTTATTGCCACACACACATTTGAATTAACTCGTGTGAGCCTTAAATGTGTACGCATAGAGAGGTTATTTGAGTTTATTGATTTGTTTATATTATAATTTTTTTCTTTTTGGAAGGTACCTATTGATGTTGCGACAAATATTATTAATAAGTGCGCGTATATTGATCCCATAATCTATCTTTTTATTTTTTGGGTTGTATTTTTTTTTCAATATATTTAAGCACCTATATGTTTTGAGTCTATAATACATATTAAGTATATTATGTAAATAATTGTGAATTCTGATATAAGATGTTGATGATCCATATAAAGTGATCTAATTCAAAACAATACCCCTGTAATTTATTAAGAAACAAAAAAAACGAAATTTGATGGTTTTGCAACTATATTGGTAATTTTTGAATTTTTAATTTTCGGATAAAATTTACAAATTTCCCATACTGTTTGATGTTCACATGAATTAGTTAAGAATATCTAAAATTTAATAAGAAATTTTTTGTCGGAAAATAAATAGATTTAAGGAAGCCAAATGAAATGGTTGTTGAAATTTGACAGTAAAATGGTGAAATTTTATTGTCTTTTTTTCGGCAATTATGGTAAAAAGTGGGAAATAATTAATGTGAAAGTTGAAAAAACGAATGTAAGCATATATGTGTCGACAAATTTCGTAATACACAGAGAAAAAAGAAAGAAAATAAAATTTTCAATTTCTTTCTTTTGTTTTGTTTTTCTTTTGATTTTATTAAATTGGGATGGGCCAATAAATTTTTATTCTTCTGTACATTTTTTTTGTTTTGGCTTTTAAAGTTTTTCTAGGCTGTTTTATTTTTTGTATTTACGAGGATCTTTTGTAATAAAAAGTTCAAAAGTAAGCGACAGTATTCATTATTATGAAAAAGGCCAAAAAGCATGCAACTGTGAATATTTTTTGCTTTTTATGTTATATAAGATTTGGGTGGTGGTGCGACAGCGGCAACCCTTTAATGTTTACTAATTCGAAATAATGATTTGTTTTCTATTGGAACAAATATTTTCATAATTTATTATTTATAAATTTATTAATAATTTTTTTTTTTTGTATGCGTTTAAAATAATAATTATTTTTATATACGTAGGGTAACAATATGAATATTAAAAAATTTTGACATGAGTTTTATGATAATATACAGGGTTTCGTTTAATATTTAGTACAAAATGCAAAAAATATCTGTTAATTTTAATTGCTTTCTAATGCCTTTTAATTTTATTTTCAAGTTTTTGATAACTGACAACATAAAGGAGACATTTATGCTAGGCCCGTTGTAATAGCCCTAAACCCCGAAAGAATTATATGTATGTGCTTGAAAAAATAGGTTCAGTCTATGTTTGACAATCTGCAAAATTAAGTACATATAATGATGTACAGCTCAGTTTATCTGTTGTACTGCAACTATACATTATGCAAATTTAATCTAAAAACGCTAATTCATTTTGAATATTGAAATATTGAAAATCAGGTGGAAGTTTTTTTTGGTTAAGCAAAACGATACTCAGTTTTCTAATTAACTATTAGTAATCCATTTTTCCCCATTACCTATTTCTAAAGAGGGTCAATTTGGTTTCTATTTTCAATTTTTTCCATGATTATGATACTTAAAGAAATATAAAAGTGCTTAAAAAATTAATAAATAATAAAGGAATAATATATGTATATGTACTTACAAAAATATTTTGCCAATTATAAATTCAACTAGATATATAAAAGAAAAATCATATGATAAATTGGCGGAACAAAATTCCCATCTGCAGAGCATGTTGTCAAAATTTCGCAGAGCTACAAATTTATTGACCTTAGAGCTTTGCACTCGAACAATAATTGCTCCTTCATTTCGTTTTTGTTGTTAATCAATTTTATGTATAAACCACCCTGTGAAATCTGTTCTAAAATGTGCTAGTTTCTTTTAGGCATAGTAACTTTATTGTGGGAAATTTTTATTTGGCCAATATTAAAAATTTTCTTCAATGAGAATTTTTTTTTCGTTATAATCTGCGACCTGCGTGTGGTTTAGCTGTCTGCATTTAGAAGATGAAACGCAAAAACCTAAAAAAATAGAACAAAAAAAAATTGATTACCTTTTTTCTATAGTGTTAGTAATCCGCTATTTTATTTATAAAAATTTTCGCTTTAAATAGTTCAGTTTTTAATTAAAAATTTATTGAATTTTTATTTTTTCGTCATTTTGGTGAAAAGGGTTGGGTCTGTACATTATGAATTTTGAATAAATTTTTGTTACTAACTACATGTTAAAATAAAATAATTAATTATAATTGTATAGGCTCTTTATAATAATTTTAGAAAAATCTAGTTAAAATTCTGATGGGAATATTATAAAAGTTGACTAGCTATAAATGCGGAATCGATTTTGAATAAATTAGATCGAATTAATTTGAATGATTTAGAGTAATTTGTTGATTACTCATTTTTAACTAATTGATTATATGAAATTTAGTATACAAAAGAATTTTTTGATTAACAAAATTTTTTGACCGATAAACTGTGGTAGGTAGGATGAATGAAAATTACAGCTAAATTTAAATAATATTTTAATTTTTACCTACCTATTATAACACAAAAGTTACCTTTTTTTAAGTTTCATTTTAATTATTTTTTTCCATTAAGATGATTTAAGAATTTTCTAAATTAAATCTAACATTATAAAATATCAAAATGTTTGAATGTAACCTAAAAGTAGGCAATTTTCTTCATTTTTCAAATACACCACGTAGATATTCAAATTTTAGTAATTTTCATAGTAAAATCCTTTCTTTTAATCCATGCAATTTACTTAAACGAAATGACTCGCGCGTTAAATTAAATCTTAATTTTCTTTTCTAATTTAATTGCAATTATTCAAGTCAATTTGAAGCCACCGAATGCAGATCATTTTCAAATTAAAATAAGTTATATACAATATATAATTCTACGTCACAATGATATTATCTAAGAAGAAAAATTCTTATTTTAAACAATCTCTATAATATTTTAGATGTTATTTATTATATTTATATTTTTAAAATTAAATGAGATAAAATTTGTGTCTTGTCTGGCTGTGCGATATTTTACAATTTCAAATCAGATTTTAAGAAAAAAATTTATACATATTTTGTATACATGTAGTGAAAATTGTGTCATTTCTTTAACATCAATTATAAAGAGAAAAATTTAAAAATAAAGTAAAAATACAAAAAATTGAACCATCAATCAAGATCATTTCAAATTCAGAGTCGGTTATCATACATTGTAATCAAGATGAATCATAATAAAAAAAAAAAATAAAATGAATCGAAAAAACTTTCTATTGTGACACTTTAAAGAAAAAATACGAAATGCATTGTTTATGAATTATTAAAATGTAGATGGCCAACTCTAGGATTATATCAAAAAATGTTTTATTCTATTTTATAAGTAAACACCGAAAATTAGCAAAGTGTCTATACAAAATAAAATCTTTAAATGTAGTTCTTATTATAGATTGTCACGTTAACCTAAAATGAAAATAGTAAAATACGACCTCAATTTTAATAATTTTTTTAAGTTACTTACGGCAAATGTTTAATGGTCCAGATATGGTTCCAATAAGATTTTGAAGTATGTATGTAAACTGAAAAAATCTTCAATTCTCCTTCTAATTCATTTAAGCTAGTAATTTGCTTTAAGTTTTTGGAAAATCATTATACATTTTGAGTCCTTTGTACATTATCATGTACTGGCCATTACTAATAAAAAATTAAGACAAAAGTTGTCATTGTTCCCCAGAATAAATTATTTTTTCATATAAATACTGCGGATACATTGTGTTCTTGATTTTGAAAACAACAATGAGTAGATTTATTTTAATTTTTTGTGCGACCGCTAAGCATTATAGTTGTTTCTAGCAAGAAGTTAATTGACGTACATATATCTTTTTGCCTATAATATAATCCGCATTGCTTTGCTCCGCACTCATCAATTGTTTTGTGACCACAAAAGGAACAAATGAATAGTATACAAAAGGTGAAAATTTAGGAAATATTTTGGTTTCTTCTGTATTTTTAACAAATCTTTGATGTTTTCTAAAAAAAACACTCTCTTTAACAAGAAATCCATAAAACAAAATTAAGATAATAAAGATTATCGCAATTCAATTATGGATTTTAAACTTTGTTTGAAGCGTGATTAAGTTAATGAGTAATATAAAAAATCGCATTTAGAAATAAGAATTGACAAAACTGTCATAAATAATGTCAAAATCGAAACTTCAGAATTGCCATACTCTTTTCAAAATTAAAATAATTATTTCAATATAAATTACCGAAAATACAAAAAATAAAAAAAGCACTAAACGCCAGGTTGCTGGAGGAGGATTACCTTTTCTTCCTTAAGAAAAGTATTTTTCTGTTTTTTATATTTTTCTTTTATTTTTAACGCTGTTATAAAAATTTTCAAAAGAAAATCACAGAAATTCATTTTTTTTATTATTTATTGTAATTTGTATGTACATATATTTGTGTCTACAATATATGTATGTATGTACCTATGTTTCTCGAATTTATATTCCATAAAATATTCCAACAATAAAAAATGTAAAAAAAGCACAAAAGAAATGAAGTTGTCATTATGAAATGACAGAAATAAAATTTTTTTGTTTTATTTACATATATTTAAACGTCTTGTGTGATTGTGACAATTACATGTTGTATGCATTATATATGTGAATGTACAAGCGTATGTTTGTTTATGTAACACATTTTATAAATAATATGTAATACAATGTCATGTCTTGTCACTTTAATTGCTTTCTCAATATTTATGATTCAATGTGAATGCGTCTTAAATAAAAAAAAACTAAATTCGCCGCATTTATGAAATTTTAAGCATTTACGAAAATATTTTTTGTTCCATAATTAAAAAAAATAAAATTAAAATACAAAAAAAAAATATTTATTAATTTTATTTTTCTTTTTATTAATTAAATTATGAAATTTTTCAAAAAAGAAAAACCATGTAATTTTTATTAAAAGAAATTTAAAAAAATTTATAAAAAATATTTTGTGCTTTTTATTAGTAAATATAAATTATAAATGAATAATATAAATAGCGCAGTTAAATTATATCAATTGTTTCGAATTTACAGAAAAGTTAAATATATATTACATAGTCATCCTGTTATGTTTTTACAGTACGCCGTTTCGCAGTTATTGCTTTGCAGTATTGCGTTTATGAAAATCTCTTGTTTTTTTACAAAATAAGCACAAATGGGACATTTAATTTAAATACATAGTTATTTATTAATGATAACACTATATACCTATTTTTGGTAATGAGCCCTCTATATTGGAAGACTGCCACTATTATCAGTTTGATTTAAAGCAAAAACAACAGTTTTTTCGCCCTTAAAGTTTAAACGGCAATTAGAACATTTGAACCAATAATTTGTTTTCATTTTTTCGAATCCTTAAATTTTTTTATTATAACTTAAATGTGTTGTTTGTTTGGTCTTCTTCAAAATAGTTTTAGAAGTTTAGTTTTTATTATAATTAACTAATTTATAATTATTTTATTATAAATAACATGATGAATTTTTAAAATTCTAAAACTTTATATTAACTTTTTTACAGTGTCACACTGACATTTAAACAATTTAAAACGACCCCATAAAAGCATCTACCAAACTTCTCCATCTAACTTTATTGTGTGCCAGCAACTTTATTTTGAGCCATGGTCTGAACTACTCTATTTTTTTCTTTCGACTTACATTACAAGGATTCCATTCTATGAATATTCTTGAAATGTTATTCCACGACCTTCTGGGAGTATGACGATCCATTTCCATTTATTTTTTTATTAGCCAGATCTCACTTTCGTGTAAGAATACCGGTTTTACGCAGCTTTTGAAAATTCGTGTTTGTGAATACTCTACGCCAAGTGGTGTTGTCTTCAGATCAGCCAGAGTCTCCCACACGCTATTCTGTTGAGTTTTCCACGGTTCTCCATATCTTTTTGCAGCACTTCCATCCGTAGTAATTACACTTCCATCACATAAAACTATATATGTATATACCATAGTATATACTATAAATTATCACTAAATCATTAAAAACATTATAAAATTAAGAACAATTTGGAGGACGAGTAGCGTTTTATCGCCATCTATATTAGAAGATACATATTATGTATATTATGTTTTTAAATTTTCTATTGTACATTTTTGGAATTGCTTTATTGGAATTTTTTTTTTGCGGTTTTTATTGTTTCAACGTTACTTAATATAAAGGGCCTTAAATTATAGCGTGATTAATAATAATAATAATTTAAAATTAAAATTTTTTTGTTCTTCCCTAATTTTTTTTGCTATTGTTGCTGTTTTCTCTTCTTTATATAATGTTTTCGTTAGTTTCTTTGTTAATTAAAAGTTTTAAATGAAAAAAAATAAAAACGGAGTTGAAAAACTCTGAAATTAAAATTTTAACACATGTAGTCGCCGCAAGCCATTTAATGTTGAATTTTTTTTTTCAGCTTTTGCTTTTCTTTATTATTTTTGTAATTTATTTGTTCTTATTATATATTTGTTACTTTTGTTATATGTTTTAAAGGAGTGTGTGTTGAAAATCTTGAATCATAAAAATGTTTTTGTGTGGCTATATGGATGTTGGAATTCATCTTAGTTTCTGCTATTTTTTTCATTTTCTATATTTTCTCTTTTTTATATTATCATTGTAATAATTTTATAATGTAGAGTTCATCTTTTGAGAAATTATAAAATTAAAATTTTTTTTTTCTGGTGTAACATTTTATGACTGCAATTTATGCACATGAGTCTTAAATATATGGTGTCGAATTTTGTATATTGTGATGTTTTTGTGTTGAAACCAGAGAAAACAAGCGTCAAAACGTATTTGAAATGACCCAAAAATTTTTTGAAACTTTTGTTTTTCATATTTTAGGTAGAGAGAAGCTGGTACTTCAAAAAAATTAATTTTATGACACAATTTAATTCTAATTTTTTTTACTTTTTTTTAAATTATGTATTTAAAATGTGAAGTATGGTATTTCCCTTTAATGTGTTAAGTGCGTAAAATACCTGCATAAATAAAGAAATGTAAAATATTTGAATAAAACTGAAATTTATTGTTTGCTATATATAAATTATAAATAACATACAATTTTTTTTAAATTTTATAAATTAATTTTTTTAAATTTTTATGTAAGCATCATTTAATGAGTATAGATTAATTTTTAGATTTTCCTTTCATTCAACAGAATTTAGTAGATCCAGGCACATATTGCTTAATAATTAAAACTTGTATTTACTACATTTGTAGGTTAGTAAATACAAGTTTTAATCGATAATGTCAAATGTCGACGTGTTACAACGCTTTTGTTAACGGCGAATCGATTAAGACGGAAATGAATTGGAAGCGCATTTTACATTATGAATTACACCTACAATTTTATTTGGTTTTGGTATATTTTGATTGATTTTTCTTTGTATGAACTTTTTTCCTTTTAGGCTATTTAATTAAATTTTCAAAAATTCAATAAATGTTATTTAAACTCGAAGTCTTATATGTGCGCATTTCAAATTATTTTATATTATAGTTGGCTTAATTCAATTGTATTAAAAAATACATAGAATTTATTTAAATTTCAAAATGACATCAAAAAATGAAATATTTATTAAAAATCACCATTTTAAATTTATTAACAATAATTAAATTATCAAATGAATATCGTTTTGAAGTCGATATCAATGTCATAGATAAATGTCAAAATAATACTTGTGGCAATGAAAATCAATTCCCCCATACAATGTGTATTAAGGTAAAATTTCAAATTTTTGAAAATAAAAAAACTTTTGTATTAAAAACATCTAGAAATTATAGGAAACTTTATTGAATTGTACAAATTTCCAAATGATACAAATGAAGCGTCAAACTGTTCGATCTTTGTTAATGGGCCATAATGGCATAAGAAACAAATTTGCATTCGAATGGACACTTTCTGCTGTCAACCTGTTGGTAAATAATGTTTGTACTTGTACTTAGCTTGAACATCAAAATTTTTTATATTTTGTAGCATTGGAGCAAGGAGTTAAGTGAAATGGCACATCATTTCTTATTTAAATGCTCTTTAAACCAAGATCAATGTGACTATTTAGGTAAGTGCAGATATCAGACTCACTGACCTTTCACGAGAATCGAAATAAAAGTAATTAAACATTTCATTGTCCTTTTTTCTTCAAGTCTTCAGAAATATAACAGTAGGACAGAATATTGTGTTTTTAAAAGGTAATCCTGGTGGTAAATGGCCTGAAAAAGTCATTCGGAATTGGTATAGTGTAATTGGTTCGGATATGAAAACTTTTACACAATTTAAAAAATCTAATCCACAAAAAATTCGACATTTCACACAAATTATTTATCCCCAAACAGAATTTATTGGTTGTGCTGCTGCAGTGTAATTTATTTTGTTTATACTTTTTATTTTTTAAAAAACAAATTTACTATATTTTTAATGGAATTAGTATGTTTGACGGAATTTTAGCTGTTTGCTATTATCATCCGGCCTTACAACATAAAGATTGGACAGCATTTAAAAGAGGTCCGCCATGTTCCGATTGTACGGAAATAAGATCAACGTGCTCATTTCTGTTTGATTCACTTTGCGGAGTTGGTAAGATTGAATATCTCACTTAGTTTCTCATTTGATTTCTAATTAACATATATTTGCAGATATTCCTCTACCAGTGGGTTTATCAACTGGTTTAAATTTGAAGAATAATCTAAAATTAAATTTTAAGTTTTTAATAATTTTTTTCTTAGCAGTAAAATTAGTGTTTAGTTTTTAGAATTTAAAGAATTATAAATAAGTTTATATGTGTACCAAAAGGTGTTCACAATTTGTATGTAATTAAAAGTCAATTAAAAACATTTATTTAAAAAAATTAGAGCTAGGAGTCGCGAGTTTTAAATTAGAAGCACGAACGTTAATATTAAATTTTTTTTAATTAAAAGTTGTCCATTAAGATTCATTCTCTTTTGAGTAGACAAGCTCCAGTTTAATTTATTTTGCAATTACGAATCAAGATTTTATTAATTTTTAAGCTCTTTGTTTAGCAATCAAAACATTTTGAGCAGAATGCAGAATATCCTTTTAATATTTTAAATTACAAATCAGGAGGTACTGTTGTGCGTTAATTTATCAAATACTTTGGAAGCTGCTTTATGAATTATTCAACAATATTAATTTTTTTTTTGTATTTTAATTGAAATTATTTTGATTTTTTGAATGCTAAAATTGCTTTTGCTCTTATAAAATAAAAACTAAAAAATATTAAAAATTTTTCTTGATCTTACACCGACGAACTCTTAAAAAGATTAAGTGAAAAAAAATATTTTATAGCTCTGTAAAATCATTTAAAATTTTTTTTGTTATTTTGACGGAATTAATAAGAAGAGCAAAATTGAATGAAGAGAAAAGATAACGAAGGTGCGCGCGCAGCAGGATGAAAGTGAAATGCATCAAAATGTCAAAAAATGAAACGCCCCCGTTTTTAGTGAATTTTATGAGAAAAAATAAATAAAAAACAAAAACAACTGCACATGCAAAAAACATACATACATACATATGTATATATTTTTAATGTTAATTTTTTTTAAGAAATTTTAACGTACGTTTTTATGCAGATTTTTCACTTTTTCATTAAAACTTGCCAAAAAAAAACTATTTGAGCAAAACTCTTTACATTGATGGAATTTTGAAAATTGCGGGCTTGTTAAAGATTTGGAAAAGTAATATGGAACTGATAGTCTTATGAAGATCATTAACAAATGGTTATTTGCAATTCAAATGAATAAATGTGAAAGATATGAATAAATGTAGTTGATAGCAGTGAGCTTATTGATCAATTTCTATAGTTTCTCTTTGGTTAATAGAATTTTATTGCTTTTGAGTATTATTTAAATTTTATTTCTGTTCCAAACTCTTCATCCAAAATTATCGTAATCATCAAATTTTTGGTTTGGCAGTATTTTGCAAGTGAATCGTGTAAATACATAAATTTGTCTGCCTAGTAGTAATTTAGTTCATCAAATATCAACGCTGTTTACATTGTTTTATGTATAAGGACATACATACATATATACAGCCATATTTCGTAGTGTTTCGTTGTTTATACATATGTACATATATACATACATATTTACATAAAAACATTCGTTCGAATGATATGAGAAAATGAAAACGTAAATCTTTATAAAAGAATTCTTAACCGTTTTAATATTCAATTTTGATTTTCAAATTATTTTTTCCATTTCTTTTTTCTTTTTTTTTTTAAGTTTTAATTTTAACAAAAATATTTTTTGACATTCCATGTCAAAATTTCATCTTTTTCATATAACAAAAACAAAGTTATAGTAAACGAACATAGCAACCAATGTAAACCGACTGTATGAAATTCTACATGTACATATGTATATATATATATATATATATATATATAATATGTGTAGATGAACGTAGAATTTTATCACAATCAGACAACAAGACGTAACAACCAACAATAATTCGTAAGAAAAAAAATTGTTGCATGCGATGTCATTATTATTATTTTATTATTTATTGTTGTTACTGTGAGATGAAATTTATATATGTACATAGGAAAAAACAAAAGATCATTTAAAAAATTTTCGATTTGGACTTGGTGAATTTATAAAATTTCAAATTTTGATAATAATTTTATACGCATGTATGTATGAACGGATGTATACTATAAACTTATATACTAGTAGTTTAATTTTGATTAGTTGATATTAAAGACATTTAACATGTAATTTTCAAAATTTCATAAATAAATTTCTATGTATATATAAGAGCTAGAGAGGGAGAGATAAGTTATTTTTAATAAGTTGGAACACACACAAAATTATCTCATGTTTAACTTGTAACAAAATATCTATTGAAAAATAATGATAATATAACAACAACAATAAAATAAATAAAAAATGACAAAAAATTAAAAAAAAAATTTTCTATTTTTTTTTTAATTATCTTTATTACTTACTTTACTTTTTCTTTAATTTTTTCCACTTAAATTATATAAAATTTTTTGGAAAGAATGGGCCAATGACACAATATCATTTTAATACTAAAAATGCTTCAGGAATTCAAGATGAAAGGACAGAGAAATTAATTGTTTTTACCATTGTTATTCTAAAATTAATTTAACGTTTGTTATTTTCACAATTTTCATATTTTTGAAAATTTTCAAAAATGACATATTTTCTAACTCTATATTGTCATTATAGAGTCATTTTCATAAACGCAATACTGCAAAACAATAACTGTAAAAACAACGTTTTAAACATGTAATATACATATGTAAATTTAACTACATACATATTATCACATAAACTAAAAACTATTACCCTTGAATGTGGCCGAAAGCACCCTCTTACTTATACTCGCATGAAAAACCGACGAATACAAGTTAATTTCGCGCAACGTACGCGTCATTGGCTCATGCATCCCATAGCCGTACTATGGCGTGGAACATTGAAAAGCTTGACCAACCTTAAGCTACTGATATATTTCCAGAATATTTTGATTCAAATATTTTGACTCTATATATTTTTTCATTTCTCTGAAAATCACATGTTAATTCTGCTATTTTATTCAATTTAAACATTTTCTTGTATTAACTTTTCCTAGGAATTAGCTATTGCGCAATGAAATATGCAAATAATTTTTCTGTAACTATAATTTGTCTTTAATTTATTATCTTATAGTTTTTAAACACATTTTATTTGAATTATTAAAATATGACGTCACTGTGAGTACTAAAAGAAATAAAAAAAAATTTAAAACAAAAACAACGCAAACAAAAAAAAAGAAAGAAATAAAATTAAAAAAAAATAACGAAAAACATTCATCAATAATCGAAAAAACAAAAAAACAAAATTAAATTTGGAAAAACATATTTGACAAATGGTTCAAAAACAATTTTTGTGTAATAAATATTTCTATTATTTTATAATAAAATACTTGAACTTTCAAAATAAAGATAAATAGAAGTAACAAAAAAAAATCAGTGAAGTTTAAAGACGCGACAATAAATCGTGATTGGAAATAATTTTTTTTTATTTTTGATGAAATCGAAACGTTTTCGATAAAAAACAATTTTTGTTATTGTTTTTTTTTTTATATATATTATAATAATACATTATAAATGTATGTACGTCTACGTGTACGTAAGGTGGGATCTCAATAAATAATGTATATATTTTGTGCTGGCTCTGAAATTTTAAAAGAGAGAAATGTTCGATGAAGTAAAATTACGCTGGGAGATTTTCTATTTTGACATTTGCGGAAATTATATCACACAAACAGACACGCAAATATGGTTAAGCATTTTCGTTTTGTACGTCTGAGCGAATATTCAGAACTATAAAAAATAGATTTTGTTCGTTTTTTACCTCAGTGCGTTCAGAGCTAAAAATTCATATTCCCTCTTACGGCCCGAACATATTTAAAACGCACAGTACGTGTTTTGATACTTTAAATTTGAAAATCATTAAATCACATAATTACAAAATTTTTTCATCTAATTATCAAATCTAACATCTGAGCTAGTTACGCTAAATCGAAATTGGTTTAATACTCGTATCGTTTGCGGTATTAATACACAATTTACAGTTTTTTAAATGTGAACTACTAAATTGTGTCTGTATAATTACACAATTCAAAAAATGAGTGCTAACTACTGAATTTCGTACCAATGCAGTGTTACTGCAATTACAGAGATAGAATGGAAAAGCTAAGGATTTCATATAACCTGCGTAAATACGGAGTATAGAAAGACGCGTTTCAAATATTTTACGTCCAACAAAATAATTGCTATTCAGTTGTTTAATTTTATATTTAATTTTAAATAAAAGACAAACTTTTTGGATTACCCTTGAAATAAAAAGAAAAAATTAATATAAAATAATTTTAAATTGATAGCAATGCAAGAGAAATCTAAAAATTAAAAAAGAAATAAATAAAGTTAGATAAAACGTGATATTAATAGCCAACAATAAATGCTAAAAATTTAACTACAAATAAAAAAAACGAAAATATAAGAAAAATGGGAGAAGTCATTTAAAATTTAAAATCTACAACTTACTAGCATTAGAAATATTGGTATTTGTAATTAAAGAAAAATAATAACAAAAATACAATATTATTTAGAAATAGTAGTGAAATTTTGACATATTTATGTGATTATGACGTTTACTTATATACTAAATTTCATGCAAGCGAACGTGCTTTTTGGCTTATTTTGACATTGTGTTTAAGTTTTTGCTTTTTAGCACTTTTCCAAAAACATTATTTATAAAAAAGTGCTTATTTGTTTCACTCTGTTCGTCTGTACGTCCATCTGCCCCAGTAGCCGTGTGTCTGCTTAAAAAAAGTTTACATCCTTTGAAATAGAAACTCAAAATTTAATTATCTTTAATAAAAACTTATATAAAAGAAAATGTTCATATATCCCTCTTCCCTTTTGCCGTTTAAAAAATATAACCCATACCAAATTATTAAAAATGCCGTTTTTTGACTATTTATTGTAGCGAAACAAACTCTTTTTAAATTCCGCAGACGCAGAAAGATAGCGACACGACACAACACAATTA